TCAGCCAAAAGACATTCTACAAAATAAATGCCCCATATCCTCAAAAATATCAACTCATTAAAAAAACTCATGAAAGACAAAGACTAAAAATAAATAAATAATAAATAAATAAAAAAGACAAAGACTAACGAATTTTTCCAGATTAAAGAAAACAAGAGATATAAAATTAAATATAGTATGTGATCCTGAATCAGAAAAGAAAAAAAGGGTAACATTAGGCCAACAGGTAGAAATGAAAAAGGTACACAGTTGGTATTACGATTATCAATATTCAACTTAGTGATTTTGAAAACCATACTCTGGCTATAAAACTGATATTCTTCTTAAGAAAGACATTTAAATATTTAGTACAAAAGGAAAAAACATTATGTCTATAGTTTAACTGGTTGAAGAATGAGGTGTGGTGGTGCACACCTGTAACCCCAGCACTTGGGAGGCTGAGGCAGGAGGATCTTTGAGTTCAAGGTCAGCCTGGGCTACACAGTGATTTCAAGACTGGGCTGGACTAAGTAAGACCAGGTGTCAAAAAACCTAGCTAACTAAATAAATAAATGATTCAAGACAAACAGTATGTACACAAAGACAATAAATACTAAATATAGGAAAGCATTAACTAGTGGTAAATCAGGAAGAAGATTATAAAGAACGTTTTATCATGAGTACAAATTTTTTGTAAGTTTGAAATTACTAAGGAGTTTGGATTTGTCCCACACTCAAACCAATGCTTTTTTTTGTACCTTATGTTTATTAACTTGATTAATTGTACTTTTTTTATTTTAAAAAGAAAAACAGGGCTGGGGATATAGCTCAGTGGCACAAGTGCCTGCCTGGCAAGCACAAGGTCCTGAGTTCAATTCCCAGTACAAAAAAAAAAAAAAAAAAAAAAAAGATACAAAATTTCAAAGCAAGATGATAGGAAATTAACAATGGTTATTATATTGCATAAGTTGCTCAGATTACCAGATACAGGCATGCAAAATTGATCAAACAATATAAGCACTAACAGTTCCTCTGAATGAACTAACAGAAATTAGTAGTACAGTTACCTTAGTTATCTTGTGTGTGTGTGTATGTATTTTTCCCTCCCTTCTTTTCTCCTTTCACCATCCCAGTTCTTTCCCTTTCACAATATAAAAGTATGGAACAAATTTTCATGTCATCCTTGCCCAGGTGCTATGCTAACCTTCTCTGTATCATTCCAATTTTAGTATATGTACTGTCATGTCCCAGCTGGTCTTCTCCATAGCTATACGGCCTCATCTCCGATCAGCTCTCAACAATACAATCAACTGTTGCAACCCAAGTCTAATGGCACCTCCACACCTGACACTTACCCAAAAAAAAAATTTTTTTTTTTTTTTGTCTTTTTGAGACACGGTCTCGCTGTGCAGTTCAGGCTGGCCATGAGCTCACTCTGTAGCCCAGGCTGGTCTGGACCTCACAACGATCCTCCTGCCTCAGCCTCCCAAGTGCTGGGATTACAGGTGTGCACCACCACACCCAGCTCAAAACACTTTAGTGTCTTCTCAGTCATAACAAGCACTCCAAGACTCTACTCCTAAACTCAAGAATTCTTTTTTGAGACAGGGTCTCGCTATGCAGGGCAGCCTGGCCTTGAACTCACTATGCAACCCAGGCTGGCCTCAAACTCACAGCAATCCTCCTGCCTCACCCTCCCAAGTGCTGGGATTCCAGGTGTGTATCACCACACCTGACAGCCCAAGAGTTCTTAAAATTTTTGGTCTCAAAATTCATTTATACTCTTAAAAACTATTAAAGACTCCCAAAGAGCTTTTGTTTAGGTAAGTTATACTGTATCCATCAGTATTAATTAGAAAATAAATACAAAAATTTTAAATGTTTCTTTATTAATTCCTTAACAAAAAATTAATCACGGGGGCTGGGGATTTAGCTCAGCAGCACAGCGCCTGCCTGGCAAGCTCAAGGTTGTGAGTTTGATTTCCGGTACCGGAAAAAAACCAAAAAACAAAAAAAAAATTACTCACATCTTTTTTTTTGTTTGGTACTGAGAATCAAACTCATGACCTCATGCTTGCCAGGTAGCTATATCCCCTTATGCTGCTGAGCTATATCCCCGGCTCTTATATCTAATTTTACATTCAATCTGACATGCTGTTTTGTCTGAACTAGTAGGACAAAATCTAGTTTCTTAGAGATACGCAGTTAAAAAGGGAAGATCCCACTAACTCCTTCATGGGGTTCCTAGCAGTCCACAGTCCTCAGGCCATACTGAGAACACCTGTGCTAGCCTTACCTCTGTCTTTAATTTGTTCTAACATAATCTGCTCCCTCCTACCATAGAATTTTTGCATATGCTACTCTCTTTGTCTAAAATGCTTTCTCTGTCCATCCTTTGTATCCACTTTGCTTAATTTCCTACCATGTCTTAAGATGGTAAAGTTCAGGCTCAATTAACGTTTCTTTTAGAAAACCTTCACTGAATTCCCTAATTAGATTAAGCCCTACCTTCACACCCCATATCCCTCTTTTGGAACAATTAAAAAAGCTTTCATTAAGAACACTCCTCATAGGCCCCATATTCCTCTCTTGGAACATCTGAAACAGTTTTTTTGTTGTTGTTGTTTTTTGTACCGGGAATCAAACTCAGGACTTTGTGCTTACCAGGCAGTTGCCTGTGCCACTGAGCTATACCCCCAGCCCCTGAAAGTTTTAATTAAGAAACACTAATCTCCAAGCATAGTGGCACATGCCTGTAATCCCACCACTGAGGAAGGGGAGACAGGAGGACCACTGAGGATTCAAGGCCAGCCTGGGATACACAGTGAGTTCAAGGCCAGCCTGAATGACAGAGCAAGACCCTGTCTCAAAAAAAAAAAAAGAAAGAAAGAAACACTCATTTTACCAATTTAATAAACTACTATTTGTCTTTTAAGAGCAGGCAGAGATCTGAAGCACCTACTATATCGTGTGTGTGTGTGTGTGTGTGTGTGTGTGTGTGTGTGTACCAGAAATTGAACTCCCAACCTCACACTTTCCAGGCAAGTGCTGCTATTTGTCTTTTAAAACTCAAGTGAGAGGCTGGGGATATCACTCAGCAGCACAGCACCTGCCTGGCAAGCATAAGGTCCTGAGTTCGATTCCCGGAACCAAAAAAAAAACCCTCAAGTGAAATGTCATCTCCTCCAGAATGGTCTCCCTAATAATTCTCCTCTCACTGCCAAAGACTTTTTTCACTCTTTTCTCTAAGCAACTTTTATACCTCAAACTTATTTCTATTAATTGCATGAAACATACTATCACATACTAGGTTTCTCTTATAAGCCTACTGGATCATGAGGTCCTTAAACAAACTCATTTCTCAGTGGGGCACAGTGATACAATCCTGTAATCACAGCACTCTGGGAGGCTGGCAAAGAGGATCACAAGTTCAAGCCCAGCCCAAGCAACTTAGCAAGACTCTATCTCAAAAAAAAAAAAAAAAAGGAGAGGAAGGGAATGGAGGGGAGGGAAAAAAAGAATGCCAAAAAATTCTTTCCACTATAATTGACTTGCAAATCTCAACATGTGTACACACACCCCTACACACACACAAAAGATACATGAGAAGACGAGGCAACAAAATGCCTCCGAAAGTTCCCTACTCTCCCAAAGCTAATCTATGGGACCCTGACAGGGAGGAAATGAAAAGCCACATAGATGAATTATTTGAAATAACAGATTTTGAAAAAATCAGTAATGTGCTCAGGAAGCCCAAAGAAGATACAACTAAACAGATAATGTACTGACACAAAGCAATCAGTGTGTCTACAGAAGACAATTACCAAAAGCTTGCTGAGCTGAACAAAATGATACAAAACATGAATAACCAGTTTGGAAAAGAATTACAGTCCATGAAAAGGCAGCAAACAGAAACCCAGAAGATTAAAAAGTCTATTTAAAGTATGGGCAGCAGAGCCAGAGCCACCTGCAATCCCAGCACTCCAAAGGCTGAGGCAGGAGGATCACCATGTGAGCTTGAGGACAGCCTGGGCTACAGAGTGAGTTCAGGGTCAGCCTGAAGTATAAAGTGAGACTTTGTGTCTCAAAAAAATCAATCGATCAATCAATAAATACAGTATGGGCAGCAGAAGTAACCAATGTGAGGACAGTACTGGAATGATAAGATAGGGCTGAGAAAAAAAGGGAAATGAAAAATGAATCCAACAGCTGCTAGATAATGCAAAGAAGACTAATCTACAATTAATTGGAATTAGTGAAAAATCAGAGGACAGTACAATTAACAGTAGAAAACTTTCCAAATACAGAGAAACAATTTAAGATACATAAAAGTGAGGCATATAAAACTCCAAATAGCCATGATCAAGAAAGAACTTCTCAAACTGTGTGTGGTGGGGCACACCTGCAATCCCAGCATTTAGGAGGCTGAGGCAGGAGGACTGTTGCAAGTTTGAGACTAGCCTGGGCTACAAAGAGAGCTCAAGGCCAGCCTGAACTACACAGTGAGACCCTGTCTCCAAAAGGCAAAAAGAGATAGAAAAAGAAAGAAAGAAAGAAAGAAAGAAAGAAAGAAAGAAAGAAAGAAAGAAAGAAAAGAAAGAAAGAAAGAAAAGAAAAAAAAGAAACTTCTCCACAGCACATCATACTCAAAATCTCAAAATCCCGGAAGTTCAATACAAGGACAGAATCTTGAAAGCTGTTAGAGGAAAGCAACAAGTCAGTTATACAGGTGAACCCATTAGAATTACTGAATACTTCTCAATGTAAAGCTTAAATGACAGGAAAGCTTGGAGTGAAGTGTTTCAAACCCTAAAAGAACAAAACTTCCAATCCAGATGGATAAATACTGCAAAACTATCTTTCAAAACTGATAAGAATATCAGGTCTTTCCATGACAAAGAGCACCTTAAGAAATGCATGACCACCAAACTAGCACTCCAAAAACATCTTCAGGTTATCCTAGAAAGAGACAATAAAGCCAACAATCCGAAAAGCCAATTAAGAGCTCATTACTGTCTTACCTTGCAGGCTACATCAACTAATCGTGTTTGGATGGCTTGGTTCTCTGCTAGCTGAGTGCCAATCGCAAGCAAAGTGTCCAGCAATTGAGCTAGGACCTGGTGGGACTCTAGAAGAGAAGATGGAAAGCTGAGTTAGAGAATCTCACAAGAGGAGCATCATAAAATCTCACTTCCTTTGGTAAAGAGTACAGACTTTTCTCAGCTGTTCTCTACTGTCTAACGCTTCATCCCTTCAACTGAATGCTAAATTCCTAACAGAAATAAGTCTGAACATCTGAGTCTTCCACAGGATTGGGAATATTTACAGACCAGGTGCTCCAAAAATACTTAGTGCTTATTTGAGCCAAGGGTTTTTAATTGCCTTCAAGATAAAGTGCAAATTCCTTAGTAGGACATATATACATACATACCAGGCCTTCAAGGGTAGCTAGCACTACCTACCTTTCTAGCTCATCTTTTTCAAGTCTCCATGAGCACTTTTTTCCAAGTACTTGTAAGTTCACACCCCCCATCTTTGCTCAGGCTGTCTCTCTACCTAGAATGCCTTCCCCCATCCCCAAGAAGTGCCCACTCATCCTTAAAGTGCCACTTCTTATACAGCGTTTGTCCTAATCCCCCAAAAGAATTAAACTTTTCCTCCTTGTTCCTCAGCAACCCAGACAGCAAGTATAATGCTTTATTATACTTAGCACACATAAGATTAAATCAAAAGATAGAAAGGTCCTTAAAACGACTGTGCCAGAGTGGTGGTGCATGCCTGTGATCCCAACACTCAGGAGGCTGAAGTAGGAGGACACCACAAGTTTGAGGCCAGCCTAGACTACTACAGTGAGTTCAAAGTAGTCCATAGTGAGTTCAAAGCCTGCTTGAACTAAACAGCAAGACCCTGTCTCAAAGAAAAAATCACTGTGCTTTATTTGCTTCCATATCCTAAAACGCTCAATTGGACAAAGTGGGCCAGGGATATAGCTCAGCAGCACAGTGCCTGCCTAGCAAGCACAAGGTCCTGAGTTCAATTCCAGTACAAAAAAAAAAAAAAAACTGGACAAAGCAAAATCCAAATAAACCTATGGTATGTCAATCTTCTTGGAGAGATTATCTCTTCATCTTCTTTGAGAACACTCCTCATCTTCTTTGTCTAAATGCTCCAAATATTATTCTTGCAGTAGTGGCAGTATGCAGGAGAATTTTAGTGGCATTCCTATATTTAGAGGAGTACAGTATTAGCTACTGAACTTAGGGGCACAATATACCCAACCTCGTTTTTTTTCAGGCAAGATCTCCCTAAATTGGTGCACACCTGTAATTCCAGCACGCGAGAGGCTGAGGCAGGATTGCCGTGAGTTTGAGGCCAGCCTGGGCTACAAAGTGAGTTCAAGGCCCGCCTGAACTGCAGAGTGAAACCATGTCTCAAAAAGAAAACAGAAAAAAATCTCCCTAAGTTGACCAGGCTAGCCCTTAACTTATAATCCTCCTGTGTCAAGCTCCCAAGCAGCTCCAATTACAAGTATGTGCCACCATGTACAGTTAATCATTTTCATGTTATTAATTATGCATAGATTTAAATACTACAGATAGTATCTATTGCTGCCACATCATATGAATTTCTTTTACATTACTAATACAAAAATTCTCTTTAAACTGAAGCTAGGGCATTTGTACTAAACGACACCCACAAACACATATCCCCTTTCTGAGAAAGGGTTCACTAAGTCGCTAAGTTGCCCAGGCTTGGCTTGAATTCATGATCTTCCTATCTCAGCTTCTCAGAGTACTGGGAAGGAATACAGGCATGTGTCACCAGGCCTGGCTCAAATTCACTTTATCAAAAAAATTCATTCATGCTGGGCATGGTGGCACATGCCTATAATCCCAGCACTCAGGAGGCTGAGGCAGGAAGATCGTTGTGAGTTCAAAGCCAGCCTGGGCTACCAAGTGAGTTCATTGCCAGCCTGAACTGCATGTGAAACCTTGTCTCAAAAAGACCAAAAAAAAAAATTTCATTCATTTAAGAAAAATGCTAAATAAATCATAACAGATATGAAACAAATATGTTAAAAACAGAATAGATGGTATACAACTGACCAAACTCAGGAAAACTAGTTAAGTCACTTCTTAGTAAGACTTCCAGTTAAACAGAGCATATTGAACACACCTGTATATGTTTTTTCCTAAAACTTTACTAACATGAGAGTAAAGAAAGTTAAAAAACAAAAAAAAGTAAAAACATAGTTTTGTAAGGATAAGAAAAAAGATGGGTAGATGAGGAAAGTCCACAAATTTTTCAGTTGGAAAACAGATAAATTGGCATAACTGAGAAACCTAATACTAAATGATATAGCTTAGTGGAATAAGAACCTGCCTGGCAAGTGCAAGGTTCTGAGTTTGACTCCGGTACCAAAAATAAAAAATCCTCTGCCTAATACTAAATGCCTACTGAGAAGGCTGTCACTACAAAGCAAATAAATTCTAACTGTAATACACAAGAAAGGCTCAAAAATAGAAGATTTTTTAAAAAGTAGATGCAGGTAAGATGAGGCAGGGGTAAATGCTTGCCATTTCGTAGGAAGCAGTTGGGCCTTTTGCAGGTTTCATGAGACTGCAGGTGACTTCATCCCTGTTATGGTGTCCCTTGCACAGACCCCACACCAGAAATGGACATAAACAGGGAGACCAGACTATTGAAGGCCAGTACAAAAATCCTGGCAGAAATTTATAAAGTCAGATTGTGGGGAGTGAATATATAAAGAACAGCTGGGCATGGTGGCGCAAGCAAGTAATCCCAGCACTCAGGAGGCTGAGGCAGGAGGATCATCATAAGTTGAGACCAGCCTGGGCTACAAAGTGAGCTCAAGGCCAGCCTGAATTGCATAGCGAGACCCTGTCTCAAAAAGAAAAAAAAAAAAAAAAAAAAGGGAAGGTAGTCAGTGCATAGAAATCTTCAGATCTCCAGAAGTACAGATTATAAATCATGCTTTTTAAAAAAATTTTTGTCTTTTTGAGACAGGGTTTCACTATGCAGTTGAGACTGGCATTGAACTCACTTTGTAGTCCTGGTGGGCCTCAAATTCCCAGTGATCCTCCTGCCTCAGCCTCCCAAGTGCTGGGATTACAGGCATGAGCCACTACACCCAGAAAGATCATGCTTTAAACAAGAAAACTGAAAAAAATTAAAAAAAAAATTGGACTATAACCATGTGAAAGCCATGTGTGTGGAGAAGTCCTCATTGGTCATCCATCCAAAACTGTGTCCTTCAGGGCTCACAGAGGACACAAACTGTATGAAAATCAGGAATATGGAGAGAAGCCATGTAAATCTAAAGAACATGGACAGCCTTTCTCTTATCCCAACTGCTCTGAGAAGCTTAAAAGATCACATACTGGAGGGGCTGGGGATTTAGCTCAGCGGCACAGCGCCTGCCTGGCAAGCACAAGGTTGTAAGTTCAATTCCTGGTACAAAACAAAAAATTAATTACTGAAAACATGAAGAAAAACACTATATGTGTAAGCAATATAGGAAAGCCTTCAGGAGTCCCAGTGAACTTCAGGTACATGTTTCTCACGCTGTTGATGTGTATGAGCAATGTGGGAAAGCATTCTCATGTACTTCCCTTTATCTGCAAAGAAAAATTCACACTGGAGAGAAACCTTATAAATGTAGAGAATGCGGCAAAGTCTTCAGGACCTTCAGTGCCCATTATGTACATGAGAAAACTCACACCGGTGAGAAACCCTATGTGTGTGGCCAGTGTGGGAACACATTCTTATGCTGCGCTCCCTTCAAACACACAGAATTCACATGAAAGAAAAACGTTATGAATGTAAGGAATGTAGGAAGCCCTTCAGGCAGTCAGGTGCTCTTCATATACATGAAAGAATTCACACTGGTGAGAAATCTTATAAATGTAAATAATGAGAAAAAGGCTTCATCTGTTCCAATTACATTAAAATGCATGAAAGAATTCACACTGGAGAGACACCTTATCAATGCAAGCAATGTGGGAAAGCTTTCAAATTTTCCAAATGTTTTCACGCTCATGAAAGGACTCACACTGCAGAGAAACACTATATATGTAAGCAGTAATGTAAAGCCTTTTGTAATTCTCATACCATTCAAATACATGAAAGAATCCACACTGGCGAGAAATCATATAAATACAAGCAATGTGGGAAATCATTCATGTGTACCAGTTTCTTTCAAGTGCACAAATGATTCCACACTCGCAAATACTCTATGTAAGCAATATAATAAAGCATTCAGTTGTTCTAATAATCGTTAAGTAAACAAAAGGTTTCACACAGGTGAAATTTTATGTATGTTTAAAAAAAAGCAATTGGGTTGGGATATAACTCAGTGGCATAAGCGCCTGCCTGAAAAGCACAAGGTCCTGAGTTCAATTCCCAGTACCAAAAAAAAAATGGTAACATTAAATAAAAAATGATTATAAATAATATTTTAGCCAGGTGTGGTGGTGCACACCTGTAATCCCAGCACTTGGGAGTCTGAGGCAGGAGGATCATTGAGCGTTCCAGACCAGCCTGGGCTACAAAGTAAGTTGAAGGGCAGTGTGAACTACACAGCGAGACCCTGTCTCAAAAAGACAAAACAAAAAAAAATAAAAATAAAAAAAGCAGTTGGATCCCTGCCCCTTTCCTATTGTAGTAGTGGGGTTTCAACAAAGGGCCTCTGTGCTGCCCTACATCCCCAGTCCTTTTTAATTTTTTATTTTGAAACAGGGTCACACTAAGTTAATAAGTTACACATGCTGGTCTCAACTCACAATCCTGTCGTCTTAGCCTCCTAGAGTGCTGGGATTATACAAATGTGCCACCCTGCCCAGATCTTACTATTGTCCTTTTTTTAAAAAAAAAACAGGGTCTTGCCAGGCATGGTGGCGCACGCCTGTAATCCCAGCACTCAGGAGGCCGAGGCAGGAGGATCTTCGCAAGTTCAAGGCCAGCCTGGGCTACAAAATGAACTCAAGGTCAGCCTGAACTGCATAGCGAGACCTGGTTTCAAAAAGACAAAAGTAAATAAATAAATAAGACAGAGTCTCACTATGTAGTTCAGACTGGCTTCAAACTTCCATAGATCCTCCTGCCTCAGCCTCCCAAGCGCTAAGATTACAGCTGTGCACCACCATGCTTGGCTATCCAGTATTTAATTAGACATATCTGTCTATATTTTGTTTAAATATTTATACCCTGACATGAAATAAAACTTCTTTAAAGGCAGGAGTGGTAGCACACGCCTGTAATCCCTGCACCAGGAAGGCTGAGACAAGATTACCACAAGTTCAAGGACAGCCTGGGCTACACAGTGAGTCCTTGTCTCAAAATACAAAAACAAAACAAAACAAAATACTATTCTTTGAAACTACATGGGCCGGGTATCTAGCTCAGAGGCATAAACGCTTGCCTGGCAAGCCTGAGGTCATGAGTTCGATTCCAGTACCCAAAAAAAAAAAAAAAAAAAAGAGAAACTACAAACAATACTACCAAATAAACAATGATATAATATTTATAAAAACAGCAATAGAGTTTCTTTTTTAAAATTTGAAAATATTGAGGTAACTGAGGCATTAACTCTCTGAAAGAATCTGTAAATACTTAAAACTAGTAACCAAGAATAAAAAAAGATGAAATACTTTTCTGCTTCACCTAAACACTGAGACTTTGAGCAGAACTAAGTACCTACTAGGAATTAAGAGCAGATGTGACGCAGGAGAGGTCACATTATGGACTCTCAACTGTGATGGGCCCCATCACTAGGACAATACCTCTCAAGGCATTTGAGTTAGTATGGGACACAGAACAAAGCATCAGCTCTGACAGATACTACCCAACAATCAACAAGCTAGTAGCATCTCTGAGCTTCAATATTCCCACCTACAAAACTGGGATAATAACATCTATCTCTTGTTTTAAGTAAGCTACCTTAACTATATGGCCCTTAGTAAAGATCAACAAATGAAAGCTATGCCAGATATGGGGATGTATGCCTATAATCAGCACTTGGGAGGCTGAGGCAAAAGGGTTGCTTCGAGTTCAAGGTCAGCCTGAACTACACACAATGAGACCCTGTCTCAAAATAAATAAATGACACTTTTTTAAAAAACTAAAACTGCCAGCCATGGTAGCACATGCCTGTAATCTCAACATCAGGAGGCTAAGGCAGGAGGATTTCAGAGAGTTCAAGGCTAGCCTTACCGACAGAGCAAGATCTGTCTCAAAAAACAATACATACATACATACGTATATACATACATGGTTTATTACAACACCCTTAAACTTCTCAATAAAAACCAACCCAGAAATTTGTTCTAAATTCTAAAACAAAGGAACTAAAGATGTCTACTACACAACTTTTAAATTGCAACTTACTTTCATTCTGCAGTATGTTAATGGCATCATCTATAATGCAGTCTGGTGAAAATCCTGCAGTCTTTGATAATAAACCCAACAATGATGCAATTTTCAGTCTCACAGAGGGATCATTTTCCTGGAACAAAGGAAGCAACTGTTATCTTGATGCTCTACTCTTGGGTAAACAATAAACCATGGGAAACCAACACCTCAAAAAGGATTCAAGGATCCAAGTATTCTACAGCTTCACTTCTGAAAAACTAACTTTGTGTACTTCAAGAGACAGAACTTTTCTCAATCAGAACGTCACACCAGATAGCACTGCAAAGTGAATGATGGCCGGGCGTGGTGGTGCACCGGTAATCCCAGCACTCGGGAGGCTGAGGCAGGAGGATCATTGTGAGTTCAAGATCAGCCTGGGCTACAAAGTGAGCTCAAGGAGTGCCTTCTGAAAAAAAAAGAAAGAAACAAGTCCTTTCCAGATACAACCAACTCCCAACGTGTCCTTTAACTTCTAAGGTAGTGACCAGGCACACCCAGGAGGCGGAAAGCAGGAGAGAGGACAACACACAGGGAGCCAGAAGAACTAAAATCCCAGCCTGCTATGCATGTACATAACTCAGGAGGCTGAGTCAGGAGGATCATTGTGAACAGTGAATTCAAGGCCAGCCTGAACTACATAGCAAGACCCTGTCTCAAGAACATCAAAAAAAAAGCCAGGTATGGTGGCACACACCTGTAATTCCAGAACTTGGGAGGCTGAGGCAGGAGGATTGTTGCAAATTCGAGACCAGCCTGAGCTACAAAGTAAGCTCAAGGCCAGCCTGAGCTGCATATCGAGATCCTGTCTCAAAAAGACAAAAAAAAAAAGTGCGAGAGTAAATTTCACAGTATATGTATCTATAGTGCCACAATTTTAAAAAGTGAAAGAAAAGAACACTAAAAAAATTTCTGACCTGGTGACATAGTTATTCATCTGCATTCTTTACAAAAGTTTGCCAGCCATGGTAGCACATGCTTGCAATCCCAGCGCCTGGGAGGCTGAGGCTGGAGGATTGTCATGAGTTCAATGCCAGCCTAAACTACTTACATAGTGGACCCTGCCTCCAACAACAAAAAAAAGTCCTGCATGAAATAAGTTTGCATGTTGCTACCTGATCACAAAAATAAATAAATAAGAAGCCAGGTATGGTGGTGCACAATTGTAATCCCAGGGCAAAGGAGCATCACTGCGCGTTCAAGGCCACCCTGGGCCGCACGGTGAGTTCAAGGCATCTGAACTACATAGCAAGACCCTCCTCTCCCCCAAAACAATAAGAGTGAATAAAACTCATCCAGAGCAGTTTATTCGCTAAAATATAAGTTACTATAGTTCTGAGCAGAACAGAAACATCCTGGTCACCAACCTAGAAGCGGACCCATTGGGCACTCCGCCTAACTCGCTTTGGGGCTCAAGCTGCTGGACTAATGCAAGCAGCATGGCCTGGGTAGAAAGCCTGGGACATGACATCACAAGACCTGAAATCAATTCTTCTTTCAAACATGGTAACAGCATTATATTTTTATAAAAAATATTCACCATTCATGTACAAATAAATTATGATGCCAGAGACTCAATTCCACAACAATCTGTCGGGAGAGGGTAAGGATGGAAGAAGTGGACATGGATGAGGGGAGAAGGAGAAGCAACCAAGTTTGACCATGAAATGTTAACTTCTGAAGCTGAGTATGAGTACATGAGAATGCAAACCATGCTCACATCTTGTATTTATCTGTATTTGAAATGTTCTGTAACAAAAAGCTTTTAGAAAAAGTGGGGCAGGGATTTAGCTCAGTGGCACAGTGCTTCCTGGCAAGAGTAAGGTCCTGAGTTCGATACCAAGCATCACCCCCACAAAAAAATTATCCAGCCGAGCACGGTGGTACATGCCTATAATCCCAGCTCTCAGGAGGATGAGGCAGAAGGATCACTACAAGTTTAAGGCCAACCTAGACTACATAACGAGACCCTGTCTCAAAAAGAAAAAAAAAAAAATGATCCCGAGCTTTTTATTTAATAGGTACGTGATCTTGGATACTAAACTACTTTATGCCTAGTTCCTTATCTGGAATACAGTGAGAATGATATTGTCATCAGGCAGGACTAAATAAAATGTTACAGGTGAAAGGAGCTTTATAAACTCCAACAAACTGAATAACTGTTAACTGTTTCTAGAAGTATTATTATAAACGATTATTGGTAACAGTTACATAAAAGGAAATGTAGATACTATCAAGGAAAAAGCTAACTGAAAATGGAACACTGAGAAACAGACAACATTGTAAGAACAGAAACCCAACATTTATTAAGCCCCTACAATGTTTCAGGGATGTTTCCAGGCTCCAAATCTGAAGGGCACAAATAGCAAGCACGGTGACACGTGCCTATAATCCTAGCACTCAGGGGGCTAAGGCAGGAGAATCTCAAGCTCAAGGCCAGCCTGGACTATAGCAAGAACTTGTCTTAAAAAAAAAAATTAAAGGAAATAGATACATATGATAAACTATGGCAATACATAAGAGCTAATAATTGTACTAACAGGGTACTGTTGAGTACACAGAACAATGCCTGACATAATAAACAGTTGCCAGCTGAGTAAAAAGTAGTGTATTTATTCATTAACTAGTTCATTCAATAAATGTTTATTTTTATAGTAACTATTATTGGTACTATATATACATCATCAGTTTAAAAATTAAAAACTCAGACGGGGTGTGGGGGCGCACACCTGTAATCCTGGCACTTGAGAGGCTGAGGTAGGACGATCCTTGCAGGTTCAAGACCAGCCTGGGCTACAAAGTGAGCTCAAGGCCAGCCTGAACTGCACAGTGAGACCCTGTCTCAAAAAGACAAGAAAAAAGATAAAATAAAATAAAATAAATACAAATTAAAAACCCAGTGGGCATGGTGACACACAAGAGGCTGAAGCAGGAGGACTGCCAAGAAAACAAACAAATTCAGAAAACAAGATATTTTACAAAGCGATTAATGCAGTGTCTCTAAAATATTCATGGTCCTCCTGCCTCAGCCTCCTGAGTACTGGGATTACAAGCATTAGTCCTAGACTTTTTTTTTCTAAAGACCAAATAGCACGTATTTCCATTCCGATTTGAACACATCAACTGTAAGACTTTTCTTTTTTATGACGCAGTACTGGGGACTGAATCCAGAGAATTCACACTTGAGCTACATCCCCAGCCCTTCCTTATTTTTGAAACAGGGTCTCACTAAATTGTTAAATTGCATGGGCTGGACTCTTATTTGCAATCCTCTTGCCTTAGCCTTTCAGAGTGCTGGGATTAAAAAGCATGTTCCAGCACACCCAGTTTATAAAGATATTTCAAGAACAACTAGAGAAGTCGCAATATGGGCAAATTCTTAGATTATATTAAGGAATTAGTTTTGTTTAATGTGAGTAAGTAGTTATTTCTTTTTAAATGTTGTTTTAGAGATACTAAACTAATTACAGAAAAACAGTATAATACCTCAAAAAATAAGAGGAACAGAAGGAAAAAGTTGTCAAAATATTACTAACTATTAATCCTAGGGATAGATATTTGGTAGTTCATTACTATATTCTCTCTACTCTTCTGTAAGATTAATAATTTTCATAGTTAAGTTTTAAATTTTAATTGATGGTTCAAATCATTTCCTCTTTTATCTCAGACCTCACCTATATAAACTGAAAAATACATATACTTTGTGAATTTCATTTTCTGTGTATATTATTTCCTGCATTTAGTCATATCTGAATTAGTGCTAAGTCTAACCCATTAAAGTACATAGAGCCAGGCACAGCGGCTCATACCTGTAATCCCAGCACTCCAGGGGCTGAGGCTCGAAGAATGTCACAAGTTCAAGGCCAGCTTGGGCTTCCTTGTGACTTCCACAGCCTAAACTACATAGCAAGATGTCCTCTCAAAATAACCAAAAAGGGCCGGGTATATAGCCCAGCATCACAAGCACCTGCCTGGCAAGCATGAGGTCCTGAGTTCAATTCCCAATACAAAAAGAGGGTAGGTATGTAGTTCAGAGGTAAAGTATGTGTGCTTAGCAGGTACAAAGCTCTAGGTTCAATTCCCAATAACACCTCCCCCCACAAAATGAGTTGGAGAAAAAGGCCACTTTGCTAAAAAAAAGTTCAAAGAATGCTGAGGGTAGTGGCACACCCTTGTAATTCCAGTTCCCCAGGGGAGTGAGGCAAGAGGATCACAAGTTTGAGTCTGGCCAAGGCAACTTAGTAAGATCCTGTCCCTAAATAAAATAAAAATAGCTGAGGATATAGCTCAATGCAAGAATGAGGCTCATGGTTCAATATACAGTACTGGGCTAAAAAAAACTGTCAGAGCCTTAAATTAGGAGAGGAGCAGCAAGATGATAAGGACAAGACATTCCGGAGATGAAGCTGGTTACAGATGTGTCTTGGTTGATGTGAACTATTCCTTTGTGTTTCCACCGCACTGTACATGTTGAGCTCACAATACCCTCCACAATATGATGCGCATTACCATTTACACGTCTGTCTCCACCTGGTATTCTAGGTTTGTCTTGGACCTAGTAATCTGTCTGAGGACAGAGTTCGTGTATTTTATTTCTGTATCCACAGTGCCTACCACATGGAAGACACTCAGTAAAAGCTTGTTAAACCAGGCAAAGTGGTGAATACCTATAACTCCAGCACTCCAGGAGGCTGGAGCCTGAGGATCACAAGTGCAAGCCTTGCCTGGACAACACAGCAGAGGATGCAGATCAGTACCAAGGCCCTGGGTTTGATCCCCAGTACTAAAAATAAATACATACATACATACATGAAGTGGTGTTGTGGTACCCACTTGTAATCCCAGCACTCAGGAGACTGAGACAGGTGGATGGCTGCAAGTTTGAAACCAGTCTGTGCTGGTGAGATCAAGGCCAAACTACACAGTGAGACTCTGTCTCAAAATACCAAAAACAAGTTTCCAAATGAATATCATGGTATTTATTTGCACTTATTTATTTGCATTCTGCAGACACAATACAATTCTAATACATAATCCCACCGGGTCCTCAAAATCTGGTTACCTTGTAGTAATGCTCCAGAAGAATCCTGACTACACCCTCCACACTTTCTGCCTCAACAGGCTTTCTGGCAAACTGCAGCAGGTACTGCAGAGCATCTGCTGGGGAGGCAGCTTTGCACAGGTCTACGTGGAGTGCTGCAGATTTACTTGGTTTTGTCAGTCGCAATTTCTTAGTTGCAATTTCCTCCTGTTGCTGCTGTGAGAAGGTAGAGAAGGTAAGACATAAAAAGCCAACTGAAAGCACAGAGCCACAAATTTAACTTTGCCTCAATGAAAATTTTTCCCCATACCAAACAAAGTATTTAGCTAATATACCCAGGCTTAGAAAAAGAGCACTAGACTAAGTCATAATTTTTGCCTTTCACCAGCTTCTATAACTTTAGGTAAGTCACTGCATTTGTCTATGCCTCAGTTTCTTTTTTTTTTTTTTTCGTCCTCTTGAGACAGGGTCTCGATATGTAGTTCAGGCTGGCCTTGAGCTCACTTTGTAACCCAGGCTGGTCTTGAACTTGCAGCAATCCTCTTGCCTCAGCCTCCCAAGTGCTAAGATTACAGGTGTGCACCACCATGCCCAGCAACAATAATTTTTGTCAGGATAGTAGTACACACCTGTGATTTCAGTACTCAGGAGTGTGAGGCAGCAGGATCTCAAGTTCAGGGCCAGACTAGGCTGTACTGTCTCAAACCCACACACACACACACACACACACACACAAACGCACAGACAGAGGACATACTGGTGAGAAGACATATACACTGGTAACCATACTACCACAAATACAAGGGTGTCGGGGCTGGGGATTTAGCTCAGTGGCAAAGCGCCTGCCTGGCAAGCGCAACGTCGTGAGTTCGGTTCCCGGTACCAGAGAAAAAACCAAAAAAAAAAAAAAAAAAAATACAAGGGTGTCAAAGAAGCAGGAAAAGAAGAAACTAACATCTAGCTGAGATTTCAACTGAGTCTTAAAAGTAAAAATATAAACCCACTTAAGAGTAGGAAAAAAAAAGGGAAGATGGCATGCATTTATGTAAAAGAGTCAATAGGGCCTGTATGGTACTGTACACCTATAATTGCAGCACTCTGGAAGGCAGAGAGAGAAGGATTGAAAATTCAAGCTCAGCCTGGGCAACTTAGTGACTTTGTGAGATCTTATTTAAAAAAAAAAAAAAATTTTTTTTAAAGGACCAGGGACATAGCTCAGTGGAAAACCCCTAAGTTCAATCCCAAGCATGACAAAGCAAACATAAAAACAAAAATAATTTTTAAAAAGTTTAAAGAAAGAGTCAATAAGTACAAAACTTTGGAGATATGCAAAACATGTCTACTGGAAGGGAAAATAAAAATACTGAGGATTAGAGAAGTAACATTGCACACAATGTTGAACGTTCTTAGTGCACTGACCTTTAAACTTAACTTTTAAAATACTAAATTTTATGCTATCTATGTTTCACCACAATTTTTTAAAAATTAAAAAGGCAGACAAGGGAAACAGAGCCAGGAAACTCCAGGAGGTAAGTCACAGAAGACAGCTCTGGGAAGCTAGACTCTGCACAATGACTCATCCTAAAAGTTCAGGACAGCTAATTTCACAGAAAAAAGAGCAATGAAGAAGTATCAAGGCCAACTCTCAAACAAAGCCATTGTGAGAAAAACCTAGAATAAGGAGCACACTAACTTCTACAGAGTGTGGGCTCCTCCTACAAAGACTGTGTCCACAAAACAAAAAAGAAAGAAAATGACAGAAAGACTGGAAAGGAAAACCACCAGATCACAAAGGACCAGGGAGTCTGGCTTTAGGAAAAGGAAAGAAACGCAAAAAGAGAACAGAAGGAAGATTTGATTTGTCAGTGCATCTCTGTGTACTACAATGGATACACTCTTCTGGTCCTTCCATCAGAGTGAGTTCCTACAAGGCAGGAACTCTGATGAATTAGACTCCCTAGCCCAACACTTCTCACCATGTCTGGTACAGAGTACTCATTAAATGAACTCCTGCTGAGTTAATGAATGTATGAAATGTTTAAGGATCATTTTCCTGCTCGATGGTCTAAGCGTTGCTACTCCACAAATCTAATGATCGAAGGACGCTGCTGATCCACTGGCATTACGGGGTCTTGTCAGAAGTGCAGTATCCTGCCTCACTCCCCCACCTGACTTCCTGAATGAAATCTACATTTTAACAAAATAGCCACGTGATTTGTATGCACATTAAAGGCTGAGAGGCAGAACACAAGAATGACTTGGGATCAGATTCTTCCTTGGAAACGTACTGGACAGAGCAACTTTTCATAGGGGCGAGGCCCACCGTCTCTACACAACTCCAAGGGAGGAAGGTACTGTCCTCCTTCCTCGGTGAGCTGTTCCACCGCTGAAGCCTGTGACCCTCGCCTGCTTTGTCTGACTCTCGAGGAGAGAATCACCTCTTCTAGCTCCTTACTGCTTTGCTTTTAGCGCAACTTGCGGGAGTTTGGGGGACAGGAGTACCCTGCACCAACTGGCTGCGTCCTCCTACCCCGCCGGCAGCTTCAACATGCACATCTGCAAAACGAGGCTGCAAAAGGAACGCGATAGAGCACGCCTGTGTGGCAGGACAAAGTGAGACAAAGTAAGAGCGTTTTGCAAACTGTCAACAGTGTCTTCTGAAAATTTAAAACACAACAAAACAAAAAAGTCGGAATACACATATTAACAAGGGCTGCACTCCTAACACTACCTCTAACGTGCAGTCTCAGAGAAACTAGCTCAGGGAGTCAGCTCTCAGTACAGGCTTGTGGCGCCTGTTCTAAGTGCCTGGCGTCCGGACCAACTTCCAGCCGCGGACCCGCCCTGGAACCTCTAGCCGGAGCTTACCTGAACCACTTTAGTGAACTCTTCATACACCCGTTTTTTAAGGTGCGCCGCCATGGCTGCCGGCGGTCCGTCTCAGCTTCCGTACACAAGGAGGGAGGCAGGGAGCGGGGCAAGGCGGGAAAGAGTCCAAAGAGGGGAGCCCGCCGCGATCCCACAATGCAGCGGGGTCCGGGAAAGAGAGTCGCTTCCGGTCGCTCGACTGCCCCGCCGATCCCCGAGTTGATCGGTCGGCCTTGGACACAGCCAGGGGGACGAGCACGTGACCGCAGCTTGAGGGAGGAGGCTTCTGGCGAGCCAAACCTGGTCAAGGCGGAAGTACAGGTTAAGAGGCAGCGGCGGAGCGATCCAGAGGTACAGGGAAAGTCTGGAACGGCGTCAGCACTGGATTGAAAAAATAACGGGAAGAAGTTGGACTGACGTTCATACTTTGCTGTTCGCAAAGTTCCAATATTTGCTGTTTGTTGGTTTAGCAAAAAGCCCCGCAAGCCAGGCGTGGTGGCGCACACCTGTAATCCCAGCACTCGGGAGGCTGATGCAGGAGGATCATTGCGAGTTCCAGCCCAGCCTGGGCTACAGAGTGAGCTCAAGGCCAGCCTGAACTGCATAGCCAGACCCTGTCTCAAAAAGACAAAAAAAAAAAAAGAAAAAGCAGAGGATCACTTGGAGTTCGAGGCCAGCCTGAACTACATAGTGAAACCCTGTCTTAAAAATGACAAAACAAACCCAAAAAAGACCCCCCAGTGTCCAGGGGCAACCATGTTACATGTTCCAAAGTAATGGACAATGTCTGTTCTCTAGTGAAACTGTTCCTCCTCTAGCAATTGATCACTCCAAACCTATTAAAATCAAGAACTCATAAGTGAGTTATTATCTGTGAGAGGAACACTTTTACCTCTACCCTTTGGTTCCCAGACCCGCGTATTCCAACTGTAGTTGAAACAATATTATGTTTTAGCTGTTGACATAACTCGTATACCACAAACCTGTAAGACAGCACCCAAAACTCAGTGTGTTATCTCCCAGCTGTCCCTATAACTGAGTTGAAAAAAAGGTCGCTACACTACTTTATTATAGCAGATAGACCTGAGTGACGAACAAGTTTCTGCACTACAATTTTTTTGTTGTTGTTAACGACAATCGAACTCAGGACCTTGCACTTGCCAAGCAAGAACTTACGCCACTGAGATATACCCGCAGCCCTGCACCACAATTCTTTCATCAGGAAATGGGAATCTTAATTAAAAGCAGTATGTCAACCAGGCATGGTGGCACACACCTATAATCCAGCACTCTGGGAAGCTGAGATGGGAAGATCAAAAGTTTGAGCCCAGAATGAGCAATTTAGCAAGATTGCTCAAAAAGTAAAAAGGACTGGAAGTGTAGCTCGCTGTGAAGGTCCTAGGTTCAGTTCCAGTACAAAAAGAAGGAGAAGGAAGAAGGAGGAGGAGAAGAAAAAAGAAGCAGACGAAAAAGAAAAAAGGAAAGAAGAGGAGGAGGAAGAGAGGGGCGGGAGAAAAAAAAATATGTGGAAAACCAGGATAATCAATGAGGCATCCAGGTACTACGGTTAAACTGCCAGAAACATTGTAGCCGGGGAAGGCAAATTGAAATCTGGATTATACATTCAAGAAGTTAAAGATGTGCTATCTCAAAATGCACCAAATTGTTACGTGTTTATTATTTCAAAAAGATTCGTGTGAGGAATTGTAATTTCAAAAAGGGCCATTTTGCAGGGTGTTTCCTCCACGCAGCCAGCCGTAAAATATTCTTTTGGGAAGAATGTGCTTCACATTCCAAGGCCTAAAAATAGCCTTGATCACCAGAGACCGGTGATTACGGTTGGAGTGATTGGGGCTGCAGTGAACCTGAATAAACAAACTCTGAAATGCCCTTTACGTTCACTCACTTCTACCAATCCCCCGCCCACATATGTCTTAGTAACTCTTCTAGAATTTATTAACCTAGTCCAGCCATCCATTTTAACTGTCATTGCTTCACAGATTTATTGTTCTTTGTCTAAAAACGTCATTCTTCGGTCATTTCTTCAGATTCCACCCTCTTGTGAAGATCCCCATGTACATGGAACTTTTGTGCTTCTCTCTCGTTAATCAGCTTTTCTATTAATTGTGTTCCTAGATCCAGCCAAAGAGCTCACATCAGAACTAAGAGGGAGAAAGGGGAGCGCCCCCCCCAACATAATGCTCCTTTCATAATGAAAAAGATCCAGTGGGTGGAATGAATGCAAAAATGGCCTCATTCTGTACTTAAACCCCTTGTAAAGTAACTTTGCAGCTGAATTTGGGTTGGTCTTGTGGCTGACCAACAGAATAACAGAAATCACAGTGTGCTAGTTTTGAACCAAAATTGCATAATCCATCTTTAGGCTTGCATGAAATAATAGCTGTACTCTCAAGGTATTACTTTTTGGGATGGGAGTGGGGCTTTTACACGGTTCATAAGCTGTTAAACTGACTTGCACATTTCCATAGTTTCAGCTGGGAAAAAGACAACAAACCCAAATGGATTTAGGCAGTTTGCAGCACGGCAGGCACCATGAACGTCATATTTATATCAATTCTCCTTGCCCAGGTGCCACGGCAGCAACACAGACAAATGAGATGTACATAATACATCAGTAAGATTGAAGAATAATGAGCTTAAGAAACCCCCCATGTATGGGCTGGGGATATAGCTCAGTGGCACAAGCACCTGCCTGGCAAGCGCAAGGTCCTGAGTTTGATTCCAAGTACCAAAAAAAAAAAAAAAAGAAAAAAAAGAAACCCCCCCAGTCTGAAAGGATTGCCATCAATCCTGTCCTTAGGAAACAGACTTTCTTATACTGGTCAGGAAACAACTAATGCTTTCCAGCACATTAGGGACAGTTTGTATCATCCTGAAATATCTTTGGGAGTGGAGGGAGGTACTAGCTTTAATACCCTGGAAGGCAAGTTAATCTGCTCCCCGTTCCTGAGCAGCACAAACATCCTCAAAGCCATCAGTACCATTTGTTCAGAAATACCAGAATTTCTCCAAACAGTTTTTTGTTTTTGTTGGTTTGGGGATTTTTTTTTTCCCTTGAACTCACTATGTAACCCAGGCTGGCCTTGAACTTGTGGTGATCCTCCTGCCTCAGCCTCTCAAACACTGGTATTACAGGCATCTGCCACCACATCCAGCTCTCCTAGCAGTTTGTTATAGAGCACACAGCTAACTGATTTTCAGTGCAGTAAATCTGCCACGAAAAACTGCCTTGTGCCTTCCAAAATGATACCATATCAAGAGCTTAGTGTTGGTCTCCATTGGCAGATTAGATATATATCAGTGGTCAACTCAGCTTTGGTGAGAGGAGGTCTGTACTGTAGAGCCCATGCGTAGCCTCTACGGGTCTATTTTGCCATTGGGTCTATTTTGTTCATAATTCCATTAAGCAAGTACTGGAATACTGAGGAAAGAGGTTGGACCATAATGTCCATTAATTTCAGGAGCCTCTTCTAGAATGGATACTCTCTGGTTGGACATTCACAAGAACAATAATTTTCCTCGATTCCCATTCCCCAGTACAGAGATCCCATTCTGCTGACCTCCTCATGGTCCAAAGGAGTGCACATTTGTAATCCTAGGGAAAAGTTATTGGAGTTTGAATAAGTAATTTCATCTACCACTTCCAGGGCAACCTATGGCTCGAATAAAGAGACAAACAAATACCTATAGTGGTGGGGAGCCAAGGGAGTCCTATGTCCAGTCAGAACAATGGCTAGCAGGAACAAAGGCCTCAACCCAGGGCTGAACCTGGGTTTTATTAATTCGTGAAGAGAGGAGTGGCTCCAGGATGACTGACTGTGAGAATGGCGGGAAGTACATGAGTGCTGTCAGCTGGGTTGGGAAGGAAGCATAATAGTACCTCTGAAACACGCAGAGAGAGGTCTGCAGAAAGAGCAATCTGCATAACACAGTTTGAGGAAGTATCCTGTGTTTTGGGGTCAGTGCTTCAGCTTTGATGACTGGCCTTCATGCCCTGAGACATCATGGGTTCTTTCTTGAGCCTCGTCTCGTCCTAGCTCATGCATATTAGTTGGAAGCAATAGGCAGGGCATCACTGACCTATAGCATTGCTTTAAAGTCACTTCTGGTAGACCCATTTGCATTGCTTAAAGTGAGTTGAGGGGTTACAGAAATATCCTAGCCAGCTCTGTACCTATCTATACACAGAATTAGGGCCAGTTTTAGCCAAAATGGAGACAAACGCTCTTCTTTCAAGGAGAACCGTCCCAGTGGTCCTCCACATCCCAGGCCTACTTGTTACCAATCTTCCACTGCTTGTTTGTTTATGACAGGGTCTCACTATGTAGTTCACACTTCAGGCTGGTCTTGAGCTCACTATGTACCCCAGGATGGACTCCAACTCATAGTGATCTTCCTGCCTCAGCTTCCTAAGTCTTGGGATTACACAAACATGCCCAGCCTATATGTCTCTTACAAGAATATACACCACTAGATTTAGGTCCATGCATTGGTTAATCCAGGATAATTTCAACTCAAGATCTTAATTATCTTAATTTGACAACTTTTACAGATTTCAGGAATTAGGAGGAGAATATGTCATTTGGAGAATCTCCGCAGTTATGCTTTAGATCTAAAATGACCCCGCAAAGCCAAGTGTATTTTGAAGATGACTGATTATGGGAGTATCACAGCTGATTTGCTGTTAGGACCAGGGGTTTGGTTGGAACCACAGGTCACTGAGGGTGGGGATGTGTTCCGCTTTCCAGAAACAGGACTTCCCTTCTCCGCTCCTCCCCAGCTCTCTGCTTTCCAGACACCATGACGTCGTGAGCAGCTTCTCTCTGCCCAGGCCACTGCACCTCGCTGCCTACCGTGCAAGGACTGAAACTTCTAAGACAGAGCCAAAATGAACCTCCTCTCCTTTGGTTGTGGATGTTGGCAAGTACTGTGTCCTGTGGGGCACCTGGCCAGGAGTAAATGATTAAACTGAATGATTAAACCTCAGAACAGAAGCGCATCAGCTCTGTGAAGAGTAGATGGCTAAAATACGGGCAAAACCACACAAATAATTCAACAGTGAGGCAAAGGCACACAGGGTCTGTGAGGGGTGAATAAACTGCAAGGGGAAAGCACACAGGCTGTGTGAGAATCGCATG